GTAGAGGGGACTGGTGCGGGGTGCAGGGCGTGTGGGGGTGGCGGAGCAGAGGGGACTGGTGCGGGGCACAGGGCGTGTGGGGGTGGCAGGAAAGGGGGCACCTGGACAATCCAGCCTGGGCCGTCAGCACCAGCTCGTACTCCGGGCCCGCCTGCACGTCCGCCAGCAGCACGGTCCCCGGGGGCCCCTCAGCGCCTGTCCCCGCCGGCAGGAACTCGCAGAAAGCCCAGTCTGGGCACAGCAGGTAGCGGGAGTCGGGCTGCTCCGGCCACAGGTTCACCCCGAGCAGAGCTGGTGGGGGACACTAAGTCAGTCAACAGGGAGAGCACACGGCCCCCCGGCCCCCGCAGACAGACCCATAATAGCCCCCTTGTGCAGCATAGAGCTGCTGCTGCCTCGGGGGCGGGGGGCTGGAAACACCCTCACAGCCAGCGCTGGCCCCCCCATCGCTACGCAGGGCTGGGGCTCACTGCACCCCCCACTGGGCTCTGCTTACGGGGCTGCTGCCTGCACACGGCGCTGACCTGCCCCTGCCTGGCCCGGCCGATGCCCCTTTACCTCCTGCGGTGCCGTAGAAGGGGCAGTAGAAGGGGAGGCCCTGGCACTCCGACTCCCGCAGGGCCTCCCCGTAGAGCTGCTCGCCACTGGGCTCTGCCGCCACCACCACCTGGAGCCGCGGCCACAGGCGCCGGGCGACGCCGTCCCAGCCCCTGGCGCACTCTGCCCTCAGCTCCGCCGCCCGCGCCGCGTCGGGCGCCAGCAGCTGCTCCAGCCGGCGCCGGGTCCCCTCAGGCAGCTCCAGCCGGGGACTCAGCCTCCCCAAGGCCAGGTCCTGCGCCAGGCCCTCCCAGCCGGCGCGCAGCACGCCCAGGGCATCGTACAGCTCCGAGACCAGCCCGGCCTCCAGCGCCCGCAGCTCCCGCTCCCGCAGGGCAAACAACAGCTGCACATACAGGGCCGCGGCGCGCGAGGGCACCGTGCCCGCCTCCTCCGGAGTGCAGTACAGGGTGGGCAGCGGCCAGGCTGCGGCCGGCAGGGAGCATCCCCGGGCCCAGGAGAAGCGGGCAGTGCCCTGCGGGCTCAGGGCCTCCGGGAAGACTCTGCTCAGGACGTCCAGGTACAACACGGGCCCCTGGGTGGGGACAGAGCGAGATGGAGACAGCCAGGGCAGATAGACACAGTCACTGTATTCCCCTGCCCCCGGGTACCAGCCTGTAACACCCCCCTCCCTCCCCCCCCGGGGGAACAGCCCAGCCTAGGGCACCTCCCTCCCCTGTAGCTTTCTCCCACTCAGTCACCCGACGGGGGGCAGCCTCCCCCCAGCCCCCTCGGGCTCAGCCCCAGGTTGGTGCAGCAGGGCCGTGTGGCACACGGATGGGGGCCGAGGCACATTCCCCCCCCCCCCGGGCACCCTGAAGAGGCCCCGAGACCCGCGGGGGAGGGGGGGAGCCCCGGCCTGCAAGACCTGCCCGGCTGCCCCCACGTACCTGCAGGGGGGAGTCCGCGGTGCAGCTGCTCCGAAGCAGAGCCCAGGCCCCCGTCGGCAGTGCCGGGTGGGCAGGGGTCTCGCCCCCGTTGGAGCCGCGCTCTGCCAGGGGGCGACGCGCCCGGAACACGGCCGAGTCTGCGGGGAGAACGTGCCGGGGTCAGGCTGAGCCCCCCACGCCCTGCTGGGAGGGGCCAGCCCAGCCCACCCCCGTCCCCCCGCCGGGCTCTGGGCTGCCCACAAGGGGCCGGGGCCCAGGGGCTGGCACCCTCGCCCAGTGCCAGGCCCTGCCTGCCCGCGGGCGCCCGACGTCCTGCCCCGGTACCTGGCTCCGCGGCCCCGGCTCCCCCCAGCAGCCGCAGCAGGAGGCGCTCCTGGCTCCGCCGCACGTCCTTGGACGCCTGCTCCAGGTGCCGGCGCTGCCAGCCCACGGCCCGGCCCAGCACCCGCAGTGCCAGCCAGTGCCAGAGAACGAGCCCCCAGGGCCGCCGCCGGGACCCCCAGCATCCCGCGCCCCCCGGGCGGCAGCGCCAGGCCCAGAACAGCAGCGCCAGCACCACAGCCAACCCGGCGAGCAGCATCGCGGCACTGTGGGGAGGGGGATTGTCAGCACAGAGAGAGACATGGCCCCCCAGTGCCCCCCACAACCTCACCCGGGCCCCCAGTGCCCCCACAACCTCACCTAGCCCCCCACAACCTCACC